TCCTATTTGACTTTGCTAATAAACAAACCGCAAATAAATTAATCAATTCAAACCAAGACATTTCAAAGCTTTCTACTTTAAGGAAGTACAACTTCCCTTCAGCAAAGAATGTAACAAAATTGCATTTACTATCCTTTAAACAATATATACATAAATCAATGATATGCCTAATATACAGGGAGGATTTTTAGTGTGCGGACCAGGTCCATGGCTCTGTGCCCCAAGGCAGCCGGTGCGCAGCTTGCTGCATGGTGCATGTGAATTTTGCTGATGAATCAGCATGCCTGACAGCCAATAACATTTGGAATGAAGAGAAGTAATTAACTTGTGGACTGTATGAGAGTATTATTTTACATTGTGAGCAGTACAGGAGTTTGTTTATGGTCTGTCAGCACTAGACAGCAGTTATAAGCGTCATTAGCCATTCATTCGTTGCCATTTAACAATGCTCTACAAGCTGCCATGTTCACACCAAAGTGATTCATTAAAATGGTTGTGAATAGTAAGAAAACATTAAAATGCAGTAATCATTTATATTTGCTCAGTCAAAGCGGCCTCCGTAGTCTAGGGGTAACGTTCCCACCTCATGACTCAAGGTACGCGGATTCAAACCCGGCAGAGGTCATGGAATTTTTAAGGGCAGAAAAATTCAGGGAACAAGTCCTCTGGGAGGGACTTTAAGCCATGGGTCCCGTGTCACAGATTTACGGCACGTAAAAGATCCTCATGTCTCTAGGAGACCTCTGAGCAAAATTACGCAACATTTCCCGCCCAAGTAGTTTCCAATGCCTCTGGTAGAGGGGGGAAGCATCAGGTACCACATGCCAGAAGAGGGCCGACCTCGCTGGAAAAGTGGGGCTGATAGCAAAGCACCAGTACCGGTAGGGTATGGGGACAGTAGAAATTAAAGCGGGACGCACAATGGACCAATAACTGGTCTAAGTGCATGGGGAAACCCACCCCCTCTAATATTGAATGAATATTTGCTCAGTCTGAGGTTTATTTAGTTACATGGACTCCCACCCTGTCAGCAAATTTGAGTTCTATGCAGTGTTACCAGCCATAACATAAGCCATTCTAACTTACCTGATCGCCATATGGTACATACAAAATGCTGCAAATACAATGGAGGAAGCTTCATGACACAGTTTAAGTGACATTATAAGCATTTCATTTGCCACAGTTAGAAACACAATAAAACAGGCCAACCTGTCAGATCAGCTGGTACTTCTCCATAGTTTGAACAGTGGACCTCAGAACAGTAGAGAGCACATAACATGACAGTCCATACACATTTTTGTAATGGTGCAGTTGGTCTTGCTTACTGTGTATGGTACACATCAATTCATTGTTGTCATTAACCTATACAATCATATTGTGCCACTTTATACAGCAGGTGAAGTTGGCAGCTGGTCACAATCCCCAGGTTTTAGAGGTCCCACTGCACAGCCATTCATACTATGTGCTAAAATTTTCTTACCCTATTTTAAAATGTCTAAGAATATACATCTGGACTTCTTAGGATACTCTGTGGTAAGTTTCCAATAATTACGCTCTATGTCACTAGCATGCAGGCAGCCACATACATCCACGTTACACTCTTGCATGTCAAAACCAGAATCTCTTAACAGAACAAACAGCAACTGCACTGTCAAAACGTAACATTAGCAACTTTAAGACTTTTAATTAACATCACCCTGACAATGTCAGAGCAAGCAGTGTGGTCATAAGTGAACAACAAAACCATGCCATCATACTCCAAAGTGCACACAAAAGCGAATAAGATGATCTGTTTCTGATATGTTCCTATTCTTTTTGTTTTTGACAATCAAAATACATTTTGTACTGTATCAAATTATAAAGCATTTTCTTAAAAAAATAAAGAACCAAGCCAGCACCATAATTTGTACAGGACTCACCAATGCATTTAAGTAAAACCAACTGTGTCTACTTTGCAGCAAAACTGAATCTCTTAAAAAACTTAAATGCCAAATTTCTTGGACTAATCACTGATAGTACGTAGGTCGTACCGAAAGTCATGAGCAAATTTTTTTGCATGCAACCTGGGAACAGCAGACGAAAGAGAGTGCAGTGGTAGCTGGAACCAGCTGTTGTGTTAGCCTTGAGTGTCTTGTGACGTCAATAGCTTGCATCACGTGACCAGTATCACTCCTAAAATAATGGCCGAAAATATGTCGTTTTGCCAGCGTGCTGTCATCGAATTTCTTGTGAAAGAGGAAATCCCTGCTGCAGAAATTCACTAGAGACTTCAGCGTGCTTATGGAAGTGTGTGCATGGGTGCGAGCAGTGTTCGAAGATGGGTGAAACATTTTAAAGATGGGAACACCAGCATTGAAGATGAGCCTCGGAGCGGTCGTCCTCGAATAGCCTCAACTGAACGCAACAAGGAAAGAGAGGATGAGATCATTCAAGATGACAGGTGTGTGACTGCGGACACAATAGCCCGAAAACTTTGAACAGGGCACAGTGCAGTACAGGAGATGATTGAAAGCTTGGGCTATAGGAAAGTTTGTGCTCGCTGGGTCCCGCGGTTATTGACCGAAGACCACAAAGTCAGTGAAAAGCCATCACCTCAGAACTTCTGCAGAGATATCAACATGAAGGTGATGATTTTTTACTCTGTATTGTGACAGGTGACGAAAGCTGGTTTCACCATTTCGAGCCTGAAACGAAATGGCAGAGTATGGAATGGCACCATTTGCATCTCTATCAAAAAAGAAGGCAAAGACAGTGCCATCAGCTGCGAAGGTGATGGGCACAGTCTTCTGGGATGAAGAGGGGTTTATTCTGGCCGAATTCCTGGAACCTGGGCAAACCATCAATGCTGCTCGTTATGTCCAGACACTGCACAAGCTCCGTCATGCATTGTGCGATAAACGTCCAGGACGAAATATCATCATCCTGCATGACAACACTCGCCCCCACGCTGCTCGCCTCTCATTGGAAGCAACTGCAAAGATGGGGTGGGAAGTTCTTCCATGCCCCTCCTATAGCCCTGATCTGGCACCCCCCGACTACCATCTTTTCAGATTTCTGAAGGATCAGCTGGTGGACAACGTTTTGAGACAAGGGAGGCAATTCAGAAAGCAGTGCGTCAGTGTCTTCGGATGGCTGGAACAGAATTTTACAGAAGGGGAATTTTCAAACTCCCAGAACGCTGGAAGAAACGTGTACAAAGAAGTGGTGATTATGTGGAAAAATAAAGAAAGATCTGTAGATTGAGGTGGTGTATTTGGTTTGTCAATAATAAAGCATGTTACTTTACAAAAAATTGTTGCTCATGACTTTCAGTACGACCCTCGTACTTTGTCCTGGAAAGATCATATTAATCAATTAGTAATTAAGCTGAGTTCGGCTGTCTATACCATCAGAACTTTATCTTCTGTTGTGTCCCAGGAGAGTCTACTGATGAGTGATGACCTATTATGTCTACGTACATTCCATTATGTCCTATGGAATTATATTTTGGGGCAATTCTGCCAACAGTAATTTAATTTTTAAAATTAAAAAAAGAACAGTCAGAATCATTATGAAAGCTAGGAAAACAGACTCTTGTCATCCATTGTTTAGGTACCTAAATATTCTTCCGTTTTACTCGCAATATATATTTTCAATATCCATGTTTGTTGTTAAAAATATGGATACTTTCACACTAAATTCTGATATACATAGTATCCATACCAGACAAAGTTCTGATTTATATCATTCAACTTATAAATTAACTAAAGTCCAAAAAGGTGTCTACTGTTCCGAGATTATGATATTTAATGATTTACCACAGAATCTTAAGAACATGACAAATGATGCTGATAAGTTTAAACATGCCTTAAAGAAATTTCTCCATATTGGATCCTTTTACTCATTGCGTGAATATCTAGATTGGAGAATAATGGAAAACCTTGCTTCTTACAAATAATTTATAATGTGATTGCTGATCTGATACAGTTTTTTGCATGGTTGATGTAATCTTTTGTCTTGACTTTTATGCAGCTTTTCATTTTGATAAGCATGATTTATATGTATTGTTTACCTGTAGAATTGCCTGTATATGTTTTTTGCTAATAGTATTGTGATATGACAAGTCCTGTATCAATGTATTTTGATTTATGGGAAAATGAAATAAAGAAAGATAAGCACCCCTGCCATCCCTTCTACTAATATAAGACAACCTAGGCAACATTACTCAAATCAAGCCCAGGCTGCTTATTAATTGTTGAGAGAAAATATCATACTGCAAATAACAGTAAACATGCCACAATTTAGAAGTTTCCCAGTGTTATATTCAATGTCTTCATTTAATAGAGTTCTGGCCACTTTCTTACCTGACAGCATTTTATAATTAAACAAATGGATAAGAACGAAGTTAATGATGCCTGATGTATTTATCTCACGAACTATGGAGTCTAGGTAAGTGCGTCTACCTACTTCAACTTCAATATAAGCATGAATACTTAACATATGATCAATCATATTCTACTGTCTTTGGTAATTATGACAACCTTGCTAATTCATGCTTAAACTCCAGGTTTTGTTTACTTCAAGGTCGTAGAAACGTGCCCACAATATGTCAATCATACTGAAGGAAATGCTAATATGACTGGTAAACTCTAGTTGCTAATTATCACCTAAATTTGTTCATTACTGTCGTTGGTGAGGACCCGAACTGCTGTTGTTTTAAACATTGACGTCACAATCTCTGAAGGAGGGCAGAAAATTACGTCTTATGCTAGTGGTAATGTAGACAATCTCTTTCAAGCACAATATATTGTAATTCTTAATGGTGTGAACTGGTACAGACTCAGCATCTGTGGGTAACATTCAAACATAAACAGGAGTACTGACCTTAAGTGAAGCTATTAATAAAAGTTTAGCCACACACACATATATAGATATCAAATTAAAATAGGATACAACAAGGACACCACAAATTTAATTCTTATAAGCCCCAGACATATACTTAAACTTCGGTAATCACATACCACGTCTTATCGTCCACCTCTACTGCCATTTTTCCATCTTGATTCACTGCGCCGTTTAATCATTCTTCTGTCATACTTTTCAGCTCTTTAGCTCTTCAGGCTCTTAAGTAATCCGTGAGAGTTACCTCGGATAGTAGACGCAGCCGACGTAGCAGACTGCCGCCGTGTGTTTTTCAGATGGCAGCACGTTATTTTCCTATGTGTTAGTAAGTTAGTAAATTGTGGTTATGGCGGTATCGGAGAGTGCTGAAGGTTGTGGCGGTTCGGGGTGGTCGAAATGGCATATTGCATTAGTAATTGGAGCGCCTGTTGTGGTTGGTATTGGTGTCTGGTATCTCAAGAACAGAAACTCCACGACAGACCGCGATAGCTCAACAACAGAGGATGGTAGAAGAAATAAGATTGCCTCGATGACTGCTTCAAGCTATACCCCGTCGGACATGGCCGGAGCGGAGCCCAACATACAATTCGAACCGGCTGAAGAAGTATGCAATGAAATGTCAAAACAGAATGACATTTATGCCGTCTATTGTCGTAGAATATAATATTTATAAAATTTGTACATGTTATGTGTTTTGTAACAAGTTATAATTATGCGTAATTACTGTTTCACAGAATCCTCTGAAACAAGCACTGGCATATAAAGCTGAAGGAAATAAATATTTCAAGTCGGGAAAGTATGCAGAGGCTATAAAGTGCTACGATAGTGCCATTGAAATATGCCCAAACGACAAAAAATTAGACCTGTCCACATTTTACCAAAACAGGGCAGCAGCCTATGAACAGATGGTGGGTATAACTTGTTTCTGAGGTTTAATATTTTTTGTGTTAATGATGGTATTGTAACATGACAGTAAACCGCCAGTCGTAAAGTAACTCTGACCCAGATTCTGGTCATAGATCTCATAGACTTAAGCCCCTTGAGGTTCAGCTTGCATTGAATGGATGGAATATCCCCTTTGTGTATCGTGTAAAATATTCCAGTGTAATCCTCTTATCAAGGATCACATGAAGTCAACACATAGAAATGATTAAGCCAAGGCCTTCAGAACATTTATTAGAATCTGTTCCCTATTTAAAAGTGAGCGTTTAAGCGCCAACATTAAAGGAAACCTCCATAATGCACTGATTAGATAATGACATAGGCTTGCCTCACCTGGAAATTTGCAGCAGAGACCTATTTATTAAAATTGTAGCACCAGCAAAACAAGGGTCTTCTCATCATTGGGAATTTTCCTGTATGCATATGGTCCATGATTTGCAAAAGGCTTTCAGTCTTTGGTATGTATATGATTATGTAACAAAATCATGCAGGCGGTAAGCAGAAGTCATACAAAATCATGGGAATGAACATGTTTGTGATATAGGACAAGGTGAAGCCAGACAGAAAATATAAGAGGCTTAAACTTGGTGACGGTCACAACTATTCAAATGATTAAGCTGCCATTGTAGCATAAGCTATGTAAGTTAGGCATGATCTGCTTTGCAAAGCATGTACTTGTGGAGGACTTGTATACAGTAAACAAGGAAGAACTTTCAATATGTACGATAAGTACACTTGACAAACAAACAAATCCATCCTCATCAGATGTCTAGACTGACCAACAGAATGTATAAGGAAGACTATTATTTTGAACATTTTTCATCATCCTTAGTTTTTTTTTTTTCAAACAGTGTTTCAGAAACTGTATCTGTTTCTGTGATCAGTGTAGGGAATAAAGGATTTGTACTCAGGACTGTTAGAAAGAGCTAATCTCCATTGCTTGACAGGCCCATCTCTCCCAATTATGTGATGATAAAAACAAATTCGGTTTATGGAAAACTCAAAGACAGTGAAAGGTGTCAAAGTAATATGCGTGTTTATTGTAACACCATCGTCAGAAGTATTAGACTTTGCTTCATAGCTATAAGAACAGTGTGATAACACAATCTGTTATTACTAATTTTAAGCTTTTGTAGTGGTTCATTGTTGATGTTTGATTCTACTCTTGAGTCTTTGGAACAAGTCAGACACATTAATCACTTCACTCCTGAAGGTGCAGGCAGCATGTCTCTTTGAAATGTCAGTAACACTGCCGATGTCCACATGATGCAAAGACACAAGCAAGGTCAATGTCAGTAATCCATTAATATGGTCATAAGAATCGCAGAAGTTGGATATAAAAAACTTAAATTGGGTCTGCTGAATGTGTGTGTGAAGCTTTTACTACATGACATGCTAGAATGAATTTTGTAGCATGTTGTGTGAACACTGTTTTCTTGAATGTGTGTTAGNCCTTCTCAGAGGGTTCTGACAGTAATATAGACCCCCACAAAGTTTACAAGGGTTCTTTACAAACATGCACAAAAACTATCATATATATGTCTTTGGTTGATGTGTGCCAAGAGAGCAAAGAAGGGAAGAGATTGTCAAAGCGTTAAAACACGCCTACGCCAGGGAACGGCTGGCATCGTCCAGGCGTTAAAACACGCCCGCGCCAGTCAAAGAGCTAGAATGAATTTTGTAGCATGTTGTGTGAACACTGTTTTCTTGAATGTGTGTTAGTTTTTGATGTCATTGAGACTTGCTCCATGGTTCTCATTCTAAATTTATTAACTGCTTTTTCCAGTACTAGTGGCTTGTTTTTAGGATGATTTTAAAGGGGGTGGAACAGACCAAATGTCATGATTTTCCAACATATATATAAGTTTTTAAATAATTTTGAGAATCACTTAGTGGCTGTGTCTCATGTTATTATAATCAGACATGTGTGCTGTACAGATGTCTGAATGTTAGATTTTCAGTACTATGACTGTTCAGTGTCCCTGAGTTGAGTTCTGATCACAATCCCCATATTAAAAGGAATTTAAAATTCTCTATTCCTGGATGATAAAGACTGAGGATATGATTGGCCACGCCATAGCTCAAGCAGTTAGTCACTGGCTTCCCACCACGGCGGCCCAGGTTTCATCCCGGGTCTGGTCAAGTAGGATTTGTGGTGGACAAAGTGGCACTGGGGCAGGTTTCCTCCAAGTACTTCGGTTTCCCCTGCCAATCTTCATTCCACCAATTGCTCCATAATCACCCTCACCTATCATCTGGGGCTGGTACAATAGGCCAGAAGTGGCCGCAGTACAAGGGACTTAGTCCCACCCCACTAGCATTAAAAAAAAAAATATGATTACATTATGGAGTGTATCTCAATAATTATTCACCTGAGAGACAGAAGTCCTGATAAAAGGTGTTAACTACAGAATATACGCACTGTACAACATTTGCACAAAAATCAGTGTTTTGAAAAAAGTTGTATTATAGTGACAACACCTGTCCTCAGAAGCATTAGTCAGCCTCCTGCTATCACACTACCCAATGTCTGCTTTTCTTACTGCATATTGCATATACCTAGATAAGAGATGCACATATATAAACAAAAATCTCATTTTGATGTTACAGTGCATCTGTCACTTCATGTATTTTCAGTTTTGGGTCTTTAAGAAAGAGGAGGTGTTCTCTTGTTCACATTTCTTTTGAATACAGCTACATATTAACATAAATATTTTTTTCTTTTCCTATTAGAAAGAATATGAAGAGGTAAAGAATGATTGTACTCTAGCACTGTCCTTGAATCCTAAGTATGTGAAAGCACTTCAGCGGCGTGCTAAGGCATGTGAACTCANCAAATAAAAACACTGGACCAGTGATTGAGGCTAGCTCTTTCTAAGGGACCCAACTGAATAGGTGTTTTCCTTCACCTGAGGACGGAAACGGATCCAGTTTCCGAAACGTCGTGTTTTTATTTGTTATCTTAAAAACCAGGACGATGGATAAAGTCCAAAATCCCAACATATCAGTGTGTTATACACCATCATCAGAATCCTATAGTAACTATTAAATTTTCTAAAATTCAGGAGACCTTGATTTTCAGTGTAACAGTGAAATTGAATAAATTAATATTGGGAATTAACTTGCATTAGGGTTGGATTCATATCTCATGATGTTGGGCAAGAACTACTTAAGTTGTTGCAGCAGCACTGCCAGTGTTGTTCCTGCACATGCATGTGTAGCAGCAGTAGCAGCAGTGTTAGGAAACTGATGTCAGAACAGACAACACCATTTCATGAGAATAAGAAAATAAAACATGAATGTGTAATATAAGGAATTATTTTATTTATTATTTATTGTCTTGGTCAACACTTTCAGCATGTTCTCTTTCACTGTCTTGTAACTTAATGATGATCAGCTCAAAAATTCCATCACATCATAATTCTCTTGTATAATCATCTTCCTGCGGTTTTACAATGGGATGTGCTCAAGAGGCCCAGTCTGCTTGTGTCACCTTGACAGGTTCCTTGTTGACCAGTCTTTCCACATCTGAAATCTTGAATTTTTTTTTTTCTTTCGCAACTTCCTGTTTCACTTGAGTCCACACAAGTTTGTTGGAGTGATGGAGAGAGTCATATGACTCAGTATCCCCTTTCATTGACCAGGTGGTCAAGTTCATACTGTTTCATATTATTCTACAGAGGGAGCACTTGTTACAGAAGATCAGATTCTGTTTCAGTAGGAGGGAAATAAATTTCTGTTACAGACACTTGCTTGCTGATGTCTTGTTTCCTGCTAGAGTTTTTAGCCACCTTGTTTACTGTAACCAGATGGTAGCTCACATTGTCTATAATTATTATACTACCCTCCTCCAAGTAATTAATCTACTCAAAAACCAATCTCTAAATGTATGGGTGATCATTTCTGTATGATAGTCACAAATGGATTCAAACCAGAACGTCCACTTTGTCATATCAGACCCACATTAGCTGATCGTGAGTGGCAAACAATGAGACGGCTTCCTTTCCCTACAGGAACCTTCATTCCACCATTTCTAGTGGAATTCTGTCAGATTTATATGTGTGATTCTGATATATCCAAGTTTCATCCAAGTGAAACACTGGTTGGCCAGGACCAAATTCCTTAAGGTTGTTTGTGAAAACTTCAGCCTTACCATGGCAGTGTCACCTCACTTCATGTGGAGTTCATGAGTTCTTTTCTACTGGAAGCCAGGATGCTTGAGTAGTTTTATAGTGGAGGATACTGAACCTTTGTACACTATTTTTTCTCTAAGAGCAGATGTTACTTTCTTGGCAGTGGGGAATTTACCTTTGTCATGATATCTGAAAACATTTCTGTGTAAAACATCTTTCTGGAAGTCATCTAGGTTTGTCACTCTTTTTGGAATGTTTGTGTGTTTGCTGGGTGATAAAGGACTTTTTGGTACCCTTTTCTTTCTCCTTTGCCTCCCTGAAAATATGCACAAAACAGTTGACTTGCCTACACAGCATGCTTCAGCTGTCAGGTCCCAGCACTTAGAGAACTCTAGTCTGCTTTATTTTTCATCATGTTGTGAACTATGTTGTGAACTTTACTACCATAACTGCTGAACAACTACCACTTGTACATGGCTTACTAAACATGTTTTACTCAAACACTTTGGATCAGAAATTGTATACAAAATAACTGATGTATATATTTTTACACACTGAAGTATACTAAAATGCTTGAAGTTATAACACAAAAACTAACAGTACTGTACCCCAACTGAAAGAAAATGTTAGAGCCTGAACATGCCATTTGTATCACAGGCGAAAGACAAACTAAGTGATGTCTCTTCCTGGTCTTGGGTTCATTGTTTATGTTCCCCAGACCCAGACTGAGGTGGCCAACTGGTGTAATGTGAAATAATACACAGTTCCACAAAGTAAGGATGAGATAAAGACCAAAAAAGGGCTACCTCCATATTATCTGAGATGAAAAAATAGAGTGCCAGCACATTTTAAGACAACACAGACTGCTTAGAAAGCTGGAAGCAAGCAGTTGCGCCTTCTCAGACTGTGTCATAAAATACAAAATCAATCTTAGTCTGTATCCTGAATGCACGGTCCAAAACAAGCAACAACGAGTAAACAACGGTTGCTAAGCAATGACGCTTGCGTTGTCACACTTGCTTGAATGTGGGCAGTTCCCACACTGGTATAAAAATCACGACTGCCTCAGTGAATAGAATACTTTTAAGAAGCCCTAAAATGCTAACCACTTGAGCTGGAAATGTGGGGGGTTTGCTCCTAAATATTAAAAACAAAAGTCCTTCACCTATGTATGTGTTACATCTGTGTTCACAAAATGTTTGAGCATGCATGATATTTGATTTGAAACTCATAGCAGCAAACTTGAACTGGGCAACGCAGCACGACTCTTAGTGGCTGGTAAAGACCAGTGACCACACCTCAAACATCAAGAGATTTGAATCCTGATATAACAACATATTCAGTGTCATGAAATGTTTGTAATTCCCAGTTTAGCTGTAATTTGATTTGTACTGAGTCACTTGAAATTTGAATTTCACAAATAAAACAGTNTTAATTGGTTAGTGTGACGGACCAGAATGAAAGACCTTAAAAACAGTTCCCTTCACATTAATTTGGAATCAACTTAATGAGATAATAATTTTAATTGAGCTTCATGCAGCACCTTCCAGAAACAGAGATAATCATTGTGTTCGGTAAACAAGAAGCAACTGTGTGGTGCAAAAATTTAATCGTACTTCTGACTCATAAGTCTAACAGGACTATTACATAATGGAGGAAATTATTTGAGAAAGTATGGTAATTTCATGTTGTAATCTTGACTAAAAAAGAGGCTTGTTCAAACCGAGATTCCAATATAGACGTGCACAAATACAAAATTTTTATATCACATTATATGTTTTTGCATCGATACTTTATTGTTATGAAAGTTAAATCATGTCATCATTTTTAAACTATATCTACAAACTGAAGTACTTCAACATGGTCCTATTTACAATGAATGTTATAAGATTTCCATGTATTTTAAGCTGTGAGTGTTCATTTTATAGGTAGACAACATGCCAAGGAAGCCATGTCAAGAAGAACACCAGTAATGCCATCAAAACACTTCATCAAAATGTACTTCTCTTCATTTATTGAAGACCCAATTATAAACACCTGGGTGCAAGAAAAGGAAAGTGATTCTGCAGAGGCAGATTTGAGGTTTGTCGTAAAGTAGGCCCTGTCTTGAATCAGTTCCATTCAGTCCACATCAAACATATTTCCAAACATTCATTGTATTATGCTGAAAATCAGAAGTTCATATAATTCAGAGATACTCTTATTATAATAGGCTGCAGTTGCAAATATGGTAGTAGCTTGGAGTGTATGAATATTTAAAGAAAACAAGAATTTTATAAAATAAGTTATATATAGGCTGTTCCTCAAGCAACATCCAAGGGTGTGTTGCAGTTGTGTTTATTACTTTGATGTAGACTTCCAAGACAGTAAGGAGTAAGAAACATGCCTTCTATTTGTTTACATAATTTTTAGACAAATTGAGATGTTCATTCCACTAGTACGCCTCATTTCACTTACTAGCACACCTTGGCTTTCATCTGATTATCATGTTTATCATGTTAGAAGTGTTTCCTTCAATGTATAGTGTGTTCATATAAAATGAAAGTGTGATGGTAGTATACTGTGTGGTTCTGGACTGGCCAAGTGGTCCCTGCAAGAATTGCTGACTCTACTTACACAGAATTTAATTTTAGTTTGCTGTAAAAAGGTGACAGAAACTGATTAAATTTTTCCCATATAAAATAATGTATATGCATGAGCTGAAGCAATACGATTATGCAGCAGTAATTCACTTTCAAACAGGCTGCCACAGAATATGCCATTACATAATATTAAAGTGTGGTTTGGTGTGCTGTGAGTGAGTGAGTGACAAATTACTCATTTCTGAACTTCAGAATGTGTCAAAAAACTTGTTTACACACTGAGAGGCATGCTTGAAGGCAGGAGGATGTAATTTCCAGCAGTTGTAAGATATGATAAGTTTATGTTGCATTTCTGTGGAAATCATTAGTGAAGTTCAGTTTAAGTAGAGAGAATCAGTGATGCATTAGGATACTTAATGTCATGTGACTTAAGTAAACAGAGGGTGGAGATATTGTTTGAGGGTGTGTGTGCAGGGGAGTTCAGATTCCACATATGAATGCAGAAATGTACAGTATTTTTGTTAGTGTTCTTCGCTGTTTATTTCTTAATATTTAGTCTTACATACAGAATATGAATGTATGTAATGTTATACTGGCCTAAGAAATGGGATAATTTTAATTTCAGAGGTCTGGCTCGAGCCAAACAGGCTTTCAAATCTCAGAATTATGAAGATATTATCCCAGCTTGCAATGAGGAATTTGAGACTGAAGATGACAGCCACAGGATGGAAGCTTTTGTTCTTCGAGCTACATTCCATCTGCTCTTGGGTGAGCACAAGAAGGCCTTGAGTGACTTTCAGGCTGTAATAGAGAATGAGCATGCAAATGTGAAGGTAACAAGAGCAAAACATATTGAATTATTCAAATAAATGTAGTTACAATTCCATATGTATGCTTAAATGTTACTGTAATTGTTCAGATAGTATCCCAGACTGTTTTAAGCCCTGGAATTTTATCAGACATTTAAGGTATCCTTATAATTCATAATTCCTTACTACTGTTGATGGATAATGGTACGAGGGTTGGAACTTTAATAGTGGCAACAATGCTGTAGAGACACCATGCAACAGAATCAAATAATGTCGCTTATACTACACGTTAGTTGCATACCTACCTTACCTCAGGGCAAATGGACTCTCACTTCCCACATCATGTGCATGCGCAGTGACGAGAAGAACAGAGCCTCATGTTAGCTGGCAGCCTATTGTAGTGCTGTCATGATGTTTTCGATACAGAAACAATGGAGTTGGATAAAGATTGAATGTGCCAGAGGCCATACAGCACGACAGTGTCATCAAGGTCTTCAAGAGGCTTGTGGGGAATCTGCATTGCCTTACAGAACAGTGGCAAGGTGGGTAAAAGCCTTCAATGAGGGATGCCAAAATGTGGCAGACATGAGTCGGCCAGGTCGTCCTAGTGTCAGTCTGCGTTACTGGAGAGTGACTGATGCCATACAATTTGTGAGCTGGCCCGAGAGACAGGATTAGCGCACACGACTGTGCTTCACATTCTGAAGGAACACCTGGGCATGAGAAAAAATTGCATCACGATAGGTTCTGCATGATTTGACGGAAATGCAGAAAATGGCTACAATACGATGCTGCTTGTAACCAGTTGGAGTGCTATGAGCGCAAAGGAGAGGCTTTCTTATGCAGTATCATTACGCTGGATGAGACATGGACCAAATCGTACGAATCGAATGAATGGTGTCAATACAGGTCACCATGAAAATCAAAAGTTCGTCAGAACCCCAGCAGTGTGAAAGTTATGGTGATTCTCGTGTATGACTGTCATGGTGTTATCCTAACGCATACCGTTCCCTGACAGCAGACCGTCAGTTCGCAGTATTACTGTTCGTTTTTGGAACACAACCCGCAACCAGCTTTAAGAAAGAAGCGGCGACACTTTCTGCAGAATCCACCCATCATTTTGCAGGACAGTGCTCAGCTGCATGCAGTGCAGGCTGTGGCTGATTTGTTCAATCGATGGGGCTGGGAAGTGCTGTACCATCCAACATACTCCCCAGACTTAAGCCCTTGTGACTTCAACTTTATTCCTAAGATGAAGGAACCACTTCATTGCATTTGCTTCAGAACTGTTCCAGAGATTCTTCAGGCAATAGACTGCTCCATTTGAACTATCAACATAAGAGGCACTGCTAAAGGTATCCTATGACTTCCACATCGCTGGCAATGGGTTGTACACAATGCTGGTGACTACACTGAAGGACAGTAAAACTTCAAAACATGCATCTCTTTTGTATCAGTTGTAAATAAATAGTTGCCACTATTAAAGTTCCATCCCTCATATTTACATACTTCTAAGTGAAACATATTTCTTTGGATTTAGATCACTGATGAACTTGTTTAACTGTTTTTGCCTGGTGCCCAGTCTGTAGGCCACCAGTGGTTCTGCTAAATATGCCACCAGCCAAACTGCTAGATGCCTTTATTATATGACAGGAATTCCCAACTCAGTTATGAGATGTTGTTTATAGTCACCATAGTGGATACTGTGAAACTGCTGCTTCTATCAGAGAATGATGTATCATACTGTCAGAATATAAGATTTATTTCAGTTCTTTTCTGAAATAATTTGGGAAAAACCATTCATTATGTCCAATAATCTTGCTTTATGCTGTTCAATGCTATGTAAGATATTTAAATTTTACATTTTGCTTGTGTATTATTTAGTACTAGACGGTTCATTGTCTGATAAAAGTTGAGCAAACAGGTAAAGTTATGGAGGAAATTGATGATTACAAAAATAATTGAGTGGCAGCATGGATGATTACATATCACCAAGCACTCTCAAACAAGGAAAATGCACAACTGCATCTGTTACGCATGTTTCAGAAGGTGATGACTCAAAGTCAAGTGTGAGTTCTGACGATCAAAATATTGAAGATACTGATTATAAGGATAGTTGCAATGGCTGAGAAGAAATTGTTAGTGAGAATGGATATCAGCCATAGACCAGCATTCACTGCCAAGAAGTTCAGGGACCACGTAATTTGATTTTGTAGTTTAATGTTCAAGTTAGGAACACCAGTCTTAGACTGACACTGTATGGCAAATGGTTCCTTGCTGTTTGGCTTGTTGTGATGTTTTTCCCAGCTAGAAAATAATTGTTGATATTGCTATGAATTGACCAAATAATTCCAGAGTTACCAGTTCTGAAGGCTATTTTAGCCAGTTTGCTTGAATTTTATTGCCTTGTGTGTTACATTGTTAAGGGGGGCATTAAAAGGAGGCCAAGAGCATTTTTAACCTTGGGGTTAATTAGCATTAAGTTACCTTTGTTCTCATAAATAACTCTTGCACTTAGTGTCTTCTGTACATGAATATCATCCAGTGAGGTGAGCTATGACCCTTCAAAAGATACACATATACCCATATTAAAATTAAATTCGGAATTTGTGTTATATAATAATTTCAGTTGCGAGTTAATGCCCTAATCAAGAGGGCGTCATTATACATGCAACTAGAACAACCTTCAAAGAGTCTAGAAGACTTTGACAGGGCAGCAAGTTTAGATCAAGATAATGCTGATGTTTACCACCATAGAGGACAGGTACAGTATATTTATGCTTTATTGTTAAAAATTACTGCTTGTTAGTTTTTGTAACCATCCTAATGATGAAGGCAGGATGTTTCTCCAAAATATCAGTATTCACCTACAAAATTACAAAATATGATGTCACAGTTCAGAAGATCACATGGAATTGCTGGGTTTTTGGACTTTGTTCATTGTCCGGTATTCTAAAAACACCAGAGAACACGACGTTTCTAAAACTGGATTTGTTTCTGTCCTTGGGTGGGGGGGACACCTACTGTGTTGGGTCTGTTAGAGAGCTAACCTCCATCACTGGACCTCTTTAGCTATTTCTAAGAGACCCAGGAGCGTAGATGTCCCCCCTCACCTGACAATGGAAACAGATTTTTAGAACACCGGGTGATGGACAGAGTCCAAAAGCCCTGTAATTCCAAGTGTTATACACCATTATCAGAAACCTTTAGAATCTGCCAGAAGACCACAATCTGAACAAACGTCAGTGTGAAAACTTCAGTAGCCCCTGTCTTTCATTTTAGCAGATTATTTCTGTAACACTGATCACCTGCATTTTCTTTATTTTCATGAAGGGCTTTTGTTGGAAATGAAGGAACAGCGAGGCACTGAATCAACCTTTGAAATTTGCTGTGATAGTACAGTGTTGTATTTAGCGTCCTGTTGCACTGATTTTCATCCATGATATGTACACAGTTGCCGTCTTGTAGTGCACTCAATTTCACCTGTTATTTCACGACATGTTTCGGCAACATAGTGCCATCATCAGGTGCCCTAATTACGCTAATCTATTTCATTGCTTGCCTTTATAAAATTATTTAATTATTTAAAAAGTGCGTATTTGTCAACTGTAATAAATTTGCACTAACTAAAACTTGTTAAGATTATTCATCTTATGTGTCATAATTAAAACTTGCGTGTGGTTCTTCCACTATGGGGGTCGTTTTTCTTATATTCTGTGTAAACTGTGTCATGTGATGCGTGTTGAATTAATTCATTCATCATCATACCATTTTATGCCATGTAGTCTAGATTCTGAAAGTGTTGTAAAATAACCCTCAGAAATTCTTTTTGAGGGAATATGGAATATTTTTGCAGTAATTTCATTTTCCATACATAATTCAGATACTAATTACATGTCATCACAGGTACATCTGTTAATGGAGAAAGTAACAGAAGCGATGAGTGACTTCAGCAAAGCCGTTGCTGTGAACCCCAACTGCCCAATTGCGTATGTCCAGAAATGTTATACCGATTATCGATACGCATTTTCTACTCGTAACATGGAAAAGATGGAAGAAGTGATGAAAGCATTTCAACAGGCAATTCAGAAATTTCCAGAATGCTCCGAATGTTACACCTTATTTGCTCAGGTATGATTATCATAGTACGTTTATACATTTTTTTTTAATACTGAGTAGTCTAAAATTAAAATCAGTAAACCCAGTATATGAGAATTTATGAATGTAAGGCTGAATACTGAAGTGCAGTCTAAAGATTACATGTTAATGGTTTATCCATGTCTAGGGTGTACATAAATGTCATTGCTTTTGTTTATTTCTCTAATTTCATATTTTTAATGTATTGTTTTTCCTATTTTTTAGGCCATCAGCATTTCTTTTTGTTATGATTTATTTAACAGTGCTTTCTGTAAATAGTTCTCTCTTATGGGATATAATGCTGTGTAGGGCGCTGCTTGTAGCCTACTTCATACTGATTTTGTGCTTCGCTTACTTGGCTACATGTTCCTCCAAAACTAGTTGACTTTCACTAGGCTACATGGTGTTATGCCACAGGAGAACCTCAGATCCAACAGTGAAGCCCCTAACCAGAAGTGCCCTAACGTTTATATTTGTTACCGAAGTTTCTCATCTAACTTTAAAAATTCAGTATCAGCTACATCTTATTATAAGATATTGAAACAAATGCGATTTGGAACACTTATTAGAATTATTGGAATTCTTTTGTATATATTTTCATCCATATAACCCCCCACATAAAAGTTGATTGAGTGGGGAATTCAGTAATTCGCACAAAAAGAAAACTTTCAACTCTAAATCGAGGTCTGAATCTTATGTAGGAATCATACATAAAATGTGCGTAAGTCCCTAATTTGAGAAACTAAACTGGGGAAAATAATATATTAGTTATATGGAATTTTAGCTGTACTGCAGAAGATATCCCTTAAATGTGGGAACCTAAAATCAGAATTTCACTGGATTGTTAATGAAGAGCATATTAAAGAGAATTGGTCTTATAATGAAAGAAACTCCTTATCACATACCTTGTGAATGGTTAGCAGAGACTCCATTGTTCTCAATCCATAAAGTGGTATAGGACACAAGAAATTTTGGAGACCCATAGGTGTCTTGTCATGGAATTATGACTTACAGTGAGTATAAAAAATATGTTCAGTGAGCTGGGGGCCAGACAACTGAGGAGTTGGATTTGGAGTCCTGGTACGGGTGAGATTTTTCTTCCTCCATATTGTCCAGGCCAATTCTGGGGCCCACCCAGCCTACTATATAGTGGGCTCTTCTGCCAGGGGTAAAGTGGCCAGGAAGCAAAGCTGACCGCTCACCTCCAACTAGTGCTGAGGTCGAGAATACATGGATCTATATATCCACTTCCCTGTACACCTTCGTGGAATAGTGCTCAGTTAAGCACAGGAACCTTACCCCTTTTTTTTACCTTGATGAATATGTTGAGGGATATTCAACACTACGTCTTTGTCCTATCCATTGACCTGGTAGGGTTTCATCAAGGTAGCTTCTTTCCACTTAGCACATTTTAGAATGTGTTGTACACTCAGTAAGTCACCACCACTGACTTTTTCAGATTTTCAATACCACTTAAAAATCATCTTGCATCACTGAACAACAACCATTCTGCCATTTGCTTTGACTGCCCTGCCATTCGATAAGATGGCTCTGGCATTCATATGACTACCATCATCTTTTGAGATATCACATTATACACCCTACATTACATTTCAGCTCAACTTTGAAAGTGTGTACAATTTTTTGGCCCCTTCTGTATAATGGGCATGCTACTTGTAACTGTTCTATATTATTTATTCCTTCTGTGGCCCAGAAATTACATCTTTTGCAGTATTTAACCTTTTCATATTACATTCATATACCAATTGTTTCTTCTTAGGTTTTAAGTGATCAAGAAGAATTTGATAAAGCTGATAAATATTTCCAGAAAGCAACTGAAGTTGAACCTGAAAATGCAACTGTATATGTGCACAGAGGTAAATAAAGTTTTTATAGGAGAGTCAATTTTAACATTCAGTGAATTAAAAATTGCAGTATCATATATTCTGTCATAAGAAGGCAGGAAGAGTCAGTTTACATATCAGAATAAAACATGATATAAACACAAGGACAGAAATGATCTAATGATGAAATTAAGAGTAAAATAAGTTCAGGAATGGATTTTTATCCCGGGAAAACTAAGGATTGATTTATACAAATGAACAGCTTGAATTCTAGGCTATGAGTAAAGACCAGAAGTTGAAATATTCAGAAACAGAGTGATGAGGATGCATATGAGCCTTAAAATGTGAAGTCATAGGCAAATGGAGAAAACTACATAATGAAGAGATTTATTTTGATTTGTTTCATTCTGGTCTGTCACGCTAACAATATTATAAAAAGATAAAACAGTTCTGTCCGGTGTGACTGGTGAAGATTTTTCTTATTTCAGTTCTTCATGCTCTATTGTGGTTTACAAACTGTATTGATGTCCCTCTGATGATGGTCTCTAAGGACCAAAACATGTAAAGGCATGAAGAATTGAAATAAGAAAAATCTTCACCAGTCATACTGGACGGAACTGTTTTATCTTTTTATAAGAAGAGATTTATAGTTTATATCTTTAGGCTATTAAATACAGAAGGTGAAGATGTGTTGGATGTGTACTGTTGTGTTTGATGAACATGGAAAGATGTTTTGATTTTAATCCAAACTAATTTTCCTTTTCTTGTAGGAAAACCTTCTAGATTAAGGTGAAGTAAGTGCATGTGATGGACAATTTGTATATTTATACCGAATCCTTTTTTCCCACATGACCATCCATTATTGTCATGACCTTCCCGCTTCATATTGGGTTCTGCAAGTTTCGTAGAAGTTTTTCTTTACTCTTCCTTCAGTTTCCATCAACAAGCAATCATGAAATTTCACAATATCGGCCCTTTCTCTGGTTAAGTTCTCACTTTAAAAACTTCAGTTTTCATAATTCTGTGATTGGTTTGGTATATCTTGCCATCAGGTTTGCTACAACTGCAATGGAATGGTGATGTTTCTAAGGCTATTGATATGATAAATCAAGCTCTGAAAATGGATGATAGATGTGAATTTGGATATGAAGCTCTGGGAACAATTGAAGTGCAACGGTAAGCAGAATCTACTAAGTTTAAGGTCTTTCATTCTGGTCCGTCACACTAACAAATTAACAATCAAGTTCCTTCCGTCAAATGTGACACTTTTTTAAGTTTTCCACCTCGTCACCACCTGCCTTACATGTTTCGGCTCACCACGGAGCCATCATCAGAGGCATTTATAGTAGAAAAAGAAATCACCAACACACAAAACTTCACTTTGTCAAAGATAACCACGTTCCAGTTAATTAAAATAATTACAAATAGTTAAAATTACCCAGAGTATCGGTTCACTAAAAGTTTTTCACACACCACAGTAGCTTTCTTATTTGTTCGTCGTTACTTCTGTAAAATTATGTTTCATTATTTGAAGTAAGAATTCTTAAAATTCCTAGAATTCTTTCCCGCTTGGCCCAATCTTTTTGCTTCGGGGTGTTGCTGACGTGTGTTGTCTGTAGGTAGTTGATGTTGCTTGTCTGTGTGTTGTGATGCTTGGCAGTGATGTGTAAGGCAGGTGGTGACGAGGTGGAAAACTTAAAAAAGTGTCACATTTGACGGAAGGAACTTGATTGTTAGTTAGAATCTACTAATTCATACATGTTTGACATATGGATACAATTTTGGAGTTTGACAAACAAAGCAGTTATAGAAATAACTGATGTACAGGAAAGCCTCGCTAATCCAGATCAAAATATGCACTAGATTGTGGTGGTCAGCATCATACCCTTGTTGCTTTACTCCTGGGGAAGAAGCCCCTAGTGGGTGGGCCCCAGTGTCATTCTAGATGCTATGGAGAAGAGAAAAATCTTGGCCTGCTGGGGATCGAACCCCAGCTGTCCAGTCTGTAACCTGTCACTATACTGACTTGAGTTATCCATGCTCTTAATCCTGCATATGTGTTATATAAAGAATATTAGTGCTTGATGCTTCACTGTGATAAGTCGGTGAAAAATGAATTTATATTAAAGTAAATAATCTATCATTAGAAACTGACTTGCTGTAGTTCCACCTCATAATTGACCTGTCATAATAATGTATAAAACTTTCCTTTCTTAAGTGTAGCTTGAATTTGTTTTCAGTGGAAACCTGAGACATGCAGTGGAGCTTTTTGACAAGGCCATTCCATTAGCAAAGACTGAACTAGAGATGTCACATTTGTTTTCACTAAGAGATGCAGCCATGGCACAAGCAACAGTCGCTGAGAAGATGGGTATCCCAATTTCAAATGTAGGATTCCCGTAGTGTTATTGGATTGTGGACAGATTCTAGTTCATTATATGATCATCCCAGTAGTGATGGGGTCAGTGAGTGGCATAATATGTTGGAATGGTGGATCATGAAGAATGTCCCACAGGGTGTGAGCAGTATTTTCTTTTAGCCTATTATTTTTCTCTAATTTTGGGTTTGTTCTCTCTCTCTCTCTCTCTCTCTCTCTTTTTTTTTTTTTTTGCTTATTTGAGTGTTAATTTGTTATTGTAGGAAAGCCATAGAACTTCACATTATTCAATGATATTATGACGGCCAAACTAGAGAATGCAAAAGTGTTGAGGAATCATCAGAGTTATAAACATATACAATTTATTCTTTCATTATCAAGAATTGACTACCTGAGCCACAGGATTCTCTTTCGTTTAATTTTTCCATCCATGCTTTCAGCTTTGGTATTCTTTCATGAACATCTAAGACGGGTTTATTGTCTTCTAAACATGATGTTATTTTCCCACAATTTTTGCCCATGAGCAAACACAGTAAAATGACCATGCAAGAAGTTTGAAGCTCCCCTTCTGGGGGTGGGGGGTATTAAACATAAGGTGGGATGCTATAAATCACGCAAAATGTCAACTTCCGAGTATACAACTTTCCATTCTAGCAGAATTTCCATGCTCCTTCCAAATTAATAGGGGTAATGGGGATATAATTGTGCAAAGCTACATGAAATGCAAAAATATATATTCTTGGCAAGGAGAAAGACATATAACTGTGAAATTTGTGCACTGCATTGTGATGTACTTGAATGGTGCAACTTGGAGCCATGAATTTATGTTAGAAGAATATCATGCTTATTGTGTTTAAAATATCAGACAGAAGATGCCAACTCCAATTTTTCACATTTAACTGCTTAAAGACAAACTTAAATCTTAAAATACAGACATTTTAAATGGTTATGGGCCTGCTTGAGAGATTTGTATTTCGATAATAGTCTGGCTCCTCCCTCCCAAGTGGAACATGCCAAAATTGCATTTAAGAATCTCTCTTACGTTACCTTCCTATCTACACCCAGTCCTAGGAAATGTTATTTTATTCACCTCAGCCGAGAATGCTAGGCTTAAACAGATAAACATGGGTTGAGGGTTATGAGAAATGTAAAACATACCATCCTTGTATTGATACTAAGTGAAATGAATACATGAACACTTTTCTTCTGCATGTACTGCACTGTTGAGTGTTACATGGGCAAAAACTAGTATGCTGCTCTGTCCAATTTTGATTCCACTCTGAATTGTTGGTATTTAAAACAATATTTAATTAAAGCTTCAAATGTTTACTCTGCACTTCATGTAATTGTGTGTATGACAACAGTACATCATAATTATGTATAAAATGCATGCGTTTTATCACTTTTTTTATAAAGTGGGCAGCCATGTGTGTCTCAGGACCTCTGCATACAACCATTGTTTTTTCCTTTGTTTTATAATGGCAGAACTCTGTAACTGTATAGGTAATAAAATTACAGTTGCATATATATTTTGTTGAAAGAATTGTGGTATGTTCTTAATCATGAATGCCTCATATCTAAAGGTTTTTTAAATAAATACGTTACACTTGGACCTCTATTTTTCCCAGATTCTCTTGATTTTTTCATAAGCAAACAGGAAGCTGAAGACAAATAATGGTGACTTTTGGCTATTATATCACACTTCAGTATTCCAATAAGTTACTCTGAAGTTGTTTTCTTAAAGTATAACATTTATTCTTTCAGTTATTACAGATATTACTATTTTCTTTTTATCAGTGGATGCTTTGAAGAAAAATTTCACAAATGTTTCACATTATAAAGAAACAGATAATTAAAACTTTCTCTGAAACATTTTCAATTCAGCGGTACTTGCTCCTCAGACAAAATGACACCACTTTCCTTTACAGCTGAGATTATTTCCTTTTGACTGCTGTTGTCTCCAGTCTTCAGTGACTTAAAAAATTTCATCTGCTTGTATTTCATTTGTAGCTGAATGCATTTATAACTGGTTATTACCTTCAGTTATTTTGATATGCAACAACACATCAACTTCCTGAGCACTCAAGATCACACATTAAAGAAAGAGGTAATGCAGAAAAATGTAATAACTACTTTCCTGTTGCATCAGTTGCTATTATTTTTGTGAAAGACACCTTGCCCAAGTAGAGATTCTAACTCCTTCAAAGTTCCACCTCATTACCATGTTTGTAATTAACTTAGACAATATATCATTCATAATCTGCATATGTTACAGTGGAATGACCTGTCTCTAATTCCTAGCTCCAATGGTTCATTACTTTCTGCCATCAGAGTGAAGGCTACAGAAACGTCTGCATCGTTACCATGTTGTTACTGTACAGTCTATAAACAAATACTTGAAAATATTGTAGCGTGTTGTGTGTGTCACGCTACAAATAAATTTATGCCGTTGTTTGATATAGCGAATTTATTCCGCTCGCTCACCTTAATGGCTTCATGTCACTCACGAGTTAGTTTGATGTTACGTACATTATTAACATTACAGAAACCACATATTCCTGCCAGTTTTAATGTATATTTCTTAATCAACAAGTGTGTGACACCTGTCAAAGTTTCACACTTCTCTGGCCATTGTCTCCGTAACCGTTCAACTTTGGACATAGGGGTTTTGTGTTATATAGGCATACTTTAACATAAGGAATGCTCTCCCAAAGTCTGGCACATTCCTCCTGGGACATCCTGTATAAGGCTGTTAACAGTTAAACAAAGGGAATTAAATCATGGAGGTTGAGATGGGAGGGACATGGAACACAGATGACACTAGAACTATTTACAAAATTTCTTCAGAAAATGTCATAGCACATGACAGACCACAACCTATTTGGGAGAATATACAGAAGTGGATAAAAATATATTATTGAACTAGACTGAAATTACTGAGGATGGGGTTCAATGTTGAGGTTTTGTTGTGACCCTATACCAGGGAGTTATTAATAACCCAACATGGACAACACAAAGATCAAATGAAATGCTAGTACTTGGGAAAGTAAGTTCTAAAAACTACATTTCTGTTTAGTAGGCGTTTATACAAAAAATAAACACAGCCCCTGCCACAGTTCAGCTACTCAAATGGTATGATGTTCAATATAAGCATTTTTGAAGGACTGCAGTTTCTTTTCAAAATAATTAATGAGCAAACTTCCATCCATTTTATGGGTGAATAATTCTGCATGGTAATAGTTAACCTTTATCATCTGAAAATATGGGATCAAATTCCCCAGTACTACAGGACTGGTGGTTGTATCTAGAAAGTAGCAATATCAGTGGTTAAGAAATGTGATGCTTAGCTAACTGCACTACATGCATACGCTGCTAACAGCAGCAAAATATAGGCCAGTAAAGGTTCAATTATATAAGTAACCAAACTGACTTCCTGTTTGGTTATTCATAAATAATAGCTGCAACAAGGTTCATATTCTATAATGTATATTTAAATTTGTACACTACAAATAACATATCCACATCGACAAGTATCGCTACAACAGCATTCAGAATTCAATATAGTAATTTACAACAAAAAGTACCTCACACATGATAACCAATAATGCTCCTCTTCCCAATGCATTCACCAATGAAGAACCAAAACACAACTTCTGCTGTTACAAGAGAATTCAGCCATGCCTCCTGAAACAGTACATTAAAAAATACAGAAAGTCTGCATTTTCAGCTTTCTATTATGGGTACATGTTAGGAAAAATGGTACTTCTTCAATGACAAAAACATTAAGAAAACAGACAATAATAAATATGTAAATTTAACAGAAATAGTCTATAACAAGGAGATGCTTTATTGCCACTGCCTTTCAACTTTCCTTTAGAATATGCCATTAGGAAGGTCCAGGAAAAGCAGGTGGGACTGAAAAAATGCTGGTCTAAGCTGATGATGTGAATATACTAGGTGATAATACAGATACCATACAGAAAAACACAGAAACTTTGACCCTAGTACGATCAGTATAAAAGTAAACAGAGAGAAAACTAAGTATATGTTGCTGTCTTTATCACCAGAATGCAGGGAAAAATCATGACATTAAAGAGGTAACAGATGTTTTGAAAATGTGGCACAGTTCAGATATTTGGGAATGACTATAAAAAATCAAAACCTGATTCAGGAGGAAATTAAGAGAAGACTGATTTCAGGTAATGCTTCAATGCTTCTTACCATTCAGTCCAGAATCTTCTGTCTAAAAACATAAGAATTAGAATATACAAAACTATAATTTTGCTTGTGGTTCTGTATGGGTGTGAAAATTGGTCTCTGACATTAAGGAAGGAACACAGATTGAGGGTGTTTGAGAACTGGGTGCTTAGGAGAATATTTGGATCGAAGATAGGTGAAGTGAGAGGAGGTTGGAGAAAACTGCATAATAAGGAGCTTCATAACTTGTCCTCTTCATGAAGTACAATTAGAGTGATCAAATCAAACAGAATGAGATGGGCTGTAGCACAAACAGGGGAGAAGAGGAATGCATATAGGATACTGGTGGGAAGACCAAGATGCACAGGTGGGTAGACAATATGCAAATAGGGGAGATTGGGACTAACTCTATCTACTGAACCCAACTGAGTAGGTTTTACCTGAGGACGGGGACAGAATCCAGTCTCCAAAATGTTGTTTTTAAAAAGAAACAGGGCAGCTTTTATAAAATAGACAAGACGATGGATAATATCCAAAAACATAATACTTGTATTTACTGATCCTCCAACATAAAAAGAAAAATACTTATACAGGCAAGGTCATTACTGAACAATAAAGAACAACTCAGAGTGCCAAGTGTTCACTAAAGAGAAACTAGATGCTAGAGTTGAACACTTCCCTTGAAAATGACTTAGATTTCCTGCAGAGAAGACCAGGGTTAAAGATTCAGGTTTCATGCTAGTCTACTCTGTTTCCAAAAAAGAATTTTAATGCATGAATATGTAATTTCTACAAAGGTATAATGAATGCATACATAATATCAGGGGCCACTTCCAGCAACTGCTATGATCTGGGTAAGTTTCGCTTGTGACTTTTTGGCCTATGGGCTTATCGATTGTGCCACTGGTACAACACAGACTCAAGGACTTCATGTGAGATGCCTTCATCTCTTCCAGTAGGCTGGTTGATTTATTTAGGGCACATTCTCACATAACTTCCCTGTGCATGGACCATGCAAATAAACGAATGCAGCAATACAACAAAATGCTACATACCACCAGAAGAAAGTCATGTACTTACAGAAGTTATCCCCTATGTGCAAAGAAGTACCACTTACACAACAGTTAAAAGTAAATTAAAAGGTGCTTATTTAGGCTCCATGCCATATCTACGAGGAGGAGGTACTAGAGCAACATTAACCTCAACACTCAGTGGTAATGACTGAATAGCTTCTCACCCTGGCCACTTTAACCTCAACTGGCCAGTAGGCTGGGTGTAAACCTAAGCCAGCCTGAATGCTGTAGGGAAAAATCTCTTTCCTTACCAACCCCAATTCCTTGGTCCTCCAGCTGCTATACAGACAACAATATGTGGCTGATCAAATTTAACTGTTAGAAAGTTTTACTGAGCATAAAAATGTGAATTATGGTTTGGCACATTCTGCAGGGAATATTGAAACCACAAACATGGCTGCATTTTAAGCAATATCCATAGGCAAAATAAAATCCATTCTTCCAAATGTATTTACAGCTGTCATACCATGCTCTGGTAAGTTTAATTGGTCACCAAGGTGCTCAATGTTTGGAACTACATTAGTTTTGAACTTAGTTCAAATCTGATAAACTTTAATTCCACTGAGTGTCTTACTTCTAGTTTGCAATTTATGGTTAACCATATAAGCTTTTTGAAATTGGGAACACTGAGGAACAAACACACTGTTTTACGCACCAACTCAACAATTTTTTTAAATTCGTCTTTGTTCACCCAAAAAAACAAAGTTCAAATCGTGTGACAAGAAAGAAAAATAACGTTAACGGCTTGTCTAACGTGTCAAGAGAAATAAATATACTAACTTTTACAGTAGTTTCCTTCCACTTCCCGGTTCGGAATCCTGTGAGTAGTTTCTGTATTCCAGATCTTATCTGTGGAATATCTGCAGGAGTAGGTGGAGCCAACTCTACTTTGGCATATTTTAGAAAAAGATTAAATTTTGGCGTTGCGGTATCAACAAAACCTGCAATGAAACAGTCATGAGATACCTTCAAAGGTTTAATATCAAAATGCAAAGAAACACTTCTTGCAAAGCAAAATGTATGCCTAATATTGGTCTTCAGTAATAGCATAATACCCAGTATGGTATGTAAATGACAATGTCATTGTATTTCAAATATAAGGTAACATTTTTAAATTGTTTCTATACAAATACCTTTCACCAGAGTTGGGCCTTTGGCCACTAAAGAAGAGATAGCTTTAGCCATTATTAACTACCAGTTAATTCTCTTTCCGGAAATGCCGACCATGTTCATGGATATAAATACTGAATTTCGATGGACAGTTAAAATTATAAACATTCTAGCAAGTAGATCTCTACATCTTAATGAGACTCTTATTCAATAACAGCGACTTGATACAAATTCATTTTCGAAGCAGATTATTGCAACATTATGGAAATAAACTTGACCTAAAGATTATTACTGCAACCGACCTAAAATAATATATGTTCCTCTCACTCTCGCACACTACTGCCATCTATGACAAACATACAATGTCGACTGCGTCGACGACGAAAGTGTGCCATTGCGGAAGCTTTTAGGAGTCTTAAGATCCCTAATATGCTACTCGGCTGACCAGAAATCCATACAACTACACAAGAAATATGGGGGGAAAAAAAAACCCTCCGTGATTTCAGTCCGCAAGCGAGCTATACCGACCGAGCGACCGCCGCTTATCGGCGAAGTTTTAGTGCCTACTTTTTTCGGATAAAGGATGTCGCGAGGTCAGCGCAACGAATATTCACGGTCGTTAATTTTGGTTTTCTAGACCGGAGCCGCTATTTCCTTTTAATAGATCCTCAGTTATCATCACGGAGCTGAGTGGCCCCGTTCCAGACCCACTACTTCTCCGAAAAAATCTAGTAGCGCCGGAAATCGAACCCGGACCTCTGGATCTGTTGCCAGGAACGCAGACCACTAGACCACACAGGCGGTCTACACAAGAAATACGACGCTTCAGAATTTAACACAAGTAAATTTAAACTTCTCATGGCAATGGCAATCAGGAGTGGGTGGGATGATTCCATGAAAGGCTGGCAAATATGTTCTCTAAGTTTCAGTGGATCCTACTGCCTTGATCTTCGGATGGAGTTAACTGTAACAAGGTTTATTAATTGAGATTTTCATAATAATGAATATTCATTTCATGCTATTTTGAATTATGGGAAAACACTGCAGCATAAGTTAAGAACTGGCACAGATTTTTCCACACCTCTGTCAAGTAGCTCCCTTTGTATGTCCTCACCACTCACCATTTGCCATTTGCCAGTTTACAGGCAATGCAGTGTGGGCAGGTAGGAGTGGGTGGCCAACTTTTACATCCACAAGCCTCAGTGATCCATTCAGACATTATTGCAGTGGCAAAAGCTGCTACAAAAAGTTCAATTTTAAAATTTTCTTCTTCAAAGCCTTTCAAAATATTGTATTAATTTCTTCTAAAATTAGTGGGGGTCTCACAAATCAAAACATGCAATAAATGTGGTCATATATGCTAGGAACATTTTAGGCTTCTTACAAGCAAGAACATAATTTACTTACTCTGTATAATTGTTATATTGCATCTGATCTATACTTTTCTGTACAACAGATTCAGTATGTTAACATCCAACCTTATATTTATGCTTTTTCAAGGTAAGTAAGTAAAGGTATCCCTGTAACAGGCCGTGGAGGCCAATAGAGTTATGAGATGTTGAGGTTCCTACATTTCCAAGACAATCAGCTCATAGATGGCGGCAAGGTTGTCAGCCCTACGCTCTGGCCGCCCTTTAACCCCAAGAATATTCCTGGTACTCATTTCTGCTAGAGGCTGAGTCAACCCCAGGGCCATAGTGCAGCTGGAATGGTTAGGTCAATTGAAAAAAATCCAATGACCTCATCAGGACTTAAACCCACAACCTTCTGCCTTGTAGCATAGTGCCTCAACCAACTACGCTACCACATGCCCCCATGCTCTTGCAAGGTATTCACCAAAGAAGCAACATGAAGCTTTCATGAAAGGAAGGAAGGAAGGAAGGACACACTGAAAGTATATAACTGTTAGAAACATGTCACATAAACTTCAGAGGCAAATCATATTGACATGGGAAATCTTTCTGTTTTGACTAAATCCTGTTTGAATGGAAATGTTACAAAAAAAAAGGGTCGCATTAAGCAGATTATGCTGTAACTGACCAATAACAATGCAATGAACTGATGTGAGTTTTATAGGCGAAATGTCAAAAAGGTTTCCAAGTATTAACAGTTTGCTTTTTATTGGAGTTAGAAGGTCAAGATGGTTCCACACCTACTTCATTCTACCCTGAAGATCAAACACCTTTGACCACAAAACCCTACAAACAGTTTTCATAGCTTTATATATTATAAGTATCACCATTCAACATATTTAGGAGGGAAAATCTGTAAACAATAGGAACAAATGACCTTAGTTAAGATATTTTATTAGAAACAAAAGTTAACAGAAGCAAAAAAATATTCAAAACAACCTCATGCTGTAAAAGTATTTTAGAAGAAAATGATTTACATTCTATGCTTTCCAAAAATACAAGTTAAAAGGTCAGTGCCCTCTATCCTAATCATTTCAAAATTACATTATTACAGCTCACAATATATTTACTCCTGTATTTTACAATCAATCATACCCAATCATCTTTCATCTCATCAGCTTTCAATATATGCCAGTTTGGTGAAGGTTTATCACTTGCCAACCAGTTAAAATCATCTACCAAGTTCCAGTTATTTATATTTATATCTAAGCCTGCTATCTTAAAATGGTGCTCCATATTTTCATACTTCAAACTGTATGGCGCAAACCCCAATTGAGTTGAATCCTCAATAACAGTTCTACTAGTAACATGAGAGTACATGACACAGTGTTTTGTGTTGTGGATACGTAACTGCTGACAAGCAAGAATGAAAGTACAGTCCACACAGTCCTCAATAAACACTGATCTTGCAACTGGTCCAGACATGATTCTGCAATTGTGAAGTGATGCCATATGAAGAGTACTAGGTGAGCCAACCAGTTTGACAGTGCAGCCTACTAAATTTGTTAGTACTATATCTTTCCTGCATATAACTTCATCAGAAAGAGACAGATTCTCTTCTGTTCTACCAGAAAATCCACAGTTGTTTTCAGTGTAACCACATAAAGCCTTAAACGGTAATGTGGAAACAGGAATCGAATCTACAGTGTCTTCTATCTTTTGAAGGAATGATTCCTTTCTAGTATCACAACTTTTTTTCTTGAAACCAAATTTCTTTTTTGGCAGCAGCCTTTTGTCAAGCTCCTGCAACTTCTGTTGCAAATTCTGAATAGCTTCTTGTGATTTACGTATGTCATATTCTCGAAGATATGGTATTGAGTCAGAAGTGAATCGTTGAAGAATCAGAATATCTTTGCTGATCTTGTCAAAATGTGAGGGAAGTTTATTTTTTTCAACCTCTCCCAGATCAGCTGCATTCAAAGCACCTTCTATCTCATCTCTCTTCTGTGTGAATGTGTCAACAAAATAGCTAACCTGTTCAGTACTTAACATATTCTCTTCTTTCTTCTCTCTCTTTTCTTTCATTGCATGACGACGTTCTCTTTCACGTCTCAGTATTCTTCCTGTAACAATTTCTGCTCCACATAATTTATCCATTTCAGAATGATAAATATCTGACCACCAGGAAGTTACACACCCTTTCCACCTACTGAGTATTATATCCTTAGTTCAAATCTCAACTTATATGCGTGCCACTCTAAATCAATTCAAACTATTCTAAACGTCCATAAAATTATCCAACTACATATTCAAAACTTTTTCTTTGTTGAAAGTGGATATTTTCCAGCATCAAATTCTTCTCTGGTCTTTCGGTAGATTGGTTCTTTATCTTCAGCTGCCAGATGCTGCACATCAACTGTAGATCTGCGTTTCTGTAAAGCTTCGTTTCTGTGCAGTTTATGAACTTCAGGATGTTTCTGTAACAGTAACACAGTAGACAATAACTACTCAATTACTACTAAAGTCAGAAAACAGTACAGTTTAGTCATTTCCTCAATACAGAGAATATGTTTTGTCAGAAAAGTTTGAATACTTTTATAGCACAAATTGGGTTGCTAAAGTCACCATAGTTTTACAAATAACAGAGGTACTGTATATGATACGTGTACTGTCCCATATTTAGGAGTGACTATAGATGAGGTTTGGATTAGATGACTGGATTTATTGAATGCTGATACACACCACTCTGAACTACACATAATTACATCTCTATTGCTGATCTGCACTCTTGATAGTCCACTGCCACACACGCATGCATGCACACACACGCACACTCTCTCTCTATGGGATTCTCAGTCTTCACTAGTTGTATTTCAACACAATAGTAATACTAGTCTCACTGTAACTACATCACATGTAAAGTCTTACTTGCACCCCCTACTTCATTTCAAGTTAAATGACTTGCCTAATTCCCTAAGAGTCAGAGTTACTTTACGACTGGTGGTTTACCAACAATCAGTCTGTCTTGGTGTCAGGCCCCTGGAGGCCCACGGCCAGAGATTTTTTTCAACCGAACTCTTGTGGTAATAGTTCTTATGTAACATCCTCTCTGAAGAGAAGATGGGTTTGTCTTTTGTCAGATTCAATGTCTGCAGTAGTAAGTCATTTGTCATAATGTAAAGGATATTTACATTTCACATGTTAATAAAGTTAATAAATGTATATAAAATATATACAGGGCCTCTGTCAGTCCAGGCTCAGTACAGCAGATTATGCCTTATTTCTAGTAGCTTCTGCTACCACGGCAGTCTAGTCACTTGAACGAACGTATGCTTGACTGCCACCAAGTTTAAGCCTCTTATACTTTCCATGCTGGGCTTCGCCTTGTCCATTATTGCGAACATTTTCGTTATCATCATTTGATATGACTTCTGCTTGTTGCCTGCATAATTTTGTTATTACGTATAATCATATATGTATGGAATTTTGAAAGCCACTTGTAAATCGCGAAACGGCGCGTGATTTGGAAAAGTGCCAATGGTACGGAGAACCTTGTTTTGTAGGCGCTGCAATTTCGGTTCTTTTTTGCCATTTCTTCGTTATATAGCCTCGGGGCAGACCCACAGAAAACATAATTTTCATCATTATCCCAACAATTCCTCTATTGTTAGAGGCGTACCTGCATCGCCATTGCATAGAAACGAAAATTCTTCTGTTTTCGTTATTTGTCGCCGCGCCAATGTGTTTACTGAGCCGTTGCCTAGCAATCGACGTATGCACTGGCTCCACTATTCCGGCTTCCAGGCGTCATGTCACAACATGAAATATTAATTACTACAGCAACTGGACAGCTTACAAATATGGTTAATTTGTATTGTTAATACTGCAACATAACATCTTGAGAGACAGAAGAAACGGCTCGGTAAGCACGTTCCCGCGGCAGTGGATAGACCAGTAATGACTTATGCTTGCCCCGCCTGTGTGCCACAATGTTCTGTCCTGTCCCCATCTCTGTACAGTATATACTGTCACGTGTAGGAGGGCACGCGTGACGAATGACGGGCTCTAGTTCGGATGATTGGATTTATTAACAGCTTGGTCACACGCACTCTTTCGATTACACTCAGAGACAGCGCTATCGCTAATTTACACGCACCTCATAATCCCCTGTTGCACGCACCTTCGCATACATAAAGTCTTCTAAATGACACTTGACATCCTCACGGGCGTCCTTGTGTATTCCTGGTTCCACTTCGCTTGCTTCCGCCACTCTTCAACTACTCTTTAATTGCCTCAGGCACTGACGAATATTCTCGTTATATAACTTCCGCACTCACCACACAGAAAACAGCCTATACTGTTGGAACGTGTTTACTGAGCGATTGCCCAGCAACGGGCTCCATAGAAACCAGTTACGTGATAGCTACCACTGTTGTGTGAGTCACAGCCTAGCGTGGAGGGGTGTTTACCGAACGTCGCGTAGCGACGGGTTGGTTGGGGGTATGTGACCCCTACTTCCTACTGCGCAATCCAAACGTTCAAAGAGTTGTCGCCTAGCAACGCGCCGATACAATCAGCAACTCTCCCATTGCGCGCGTGCTCCGAGGCCTCTGTGGCTCAACAGTTCCTGCATAGAGCAAATACGCCGCAATATAATACTGTACCATGTTCGGCTACTGAAGACGCCGTTTTTATTGATAACTGATTTTATTTTCCACTTACCGGTCGTAATAATTACTTATTACACTGTTACTGATTTACACAACTTATACTCACTACACGCTAATCTCTTTAGTCTATCTTCAGTATTCTTCACATATATTTATAACATAGGAGCTATGCAAGTCTTGAGGTCACACAAGTCTCAAATCTGAGTGTGTAATATATGACCTCGAGTACTAAGGGACTAGGACCCGAAAAAGACTGCGCTGGCATGGGCCAGCAGCATATACAAAAGACAGACCCATCCTCTCGTCAGAGAGGGCGCCCATAAAAAAAAACCCGTAACTATCAAACAGTAATAAAGATCCGCTCGCAAGCCCCAGATGGGTGCTTTATGCCAAGACAGACTGGCCGACTAACCATTGGTCGTAAAATGACTCAGACTCATACAAACAAACAAACAAACAAACTCCGTCGTCTGTAGTCAGCAAGCGAACTATATCGACCGAGCGACTGCCGCTTGCCGGCGAAGTTAGTGCCAACTTTAGCGGACAGAGCGTGACGCGTGGTCAGCGCAACGAATCCCCACGGCCACTAATTTCGGTTTTCTAGACCGGACTCGGACTCATAAACAAGTAATAATATTACATGCAGGGCCTATAACTTTAAAAAAAAATGTATATTAATAATCCAATGTGGAGGCGGACCGCCTCTGTGGTCTTGTGGTCAGAGTTCCTGGCTACATATCCAGAGGTCCCAGGTTAGATTCCCGGCTCTATCAGATTTTCTGAGAAGTCTGGAATGGGGTCCACTCAACCTCGTGAGCATAACTGAGAAGCNATCGACCGAGCGACTGCCGCTTGCCGGCGAAGTTAGTGCCAACTTTAGCGGACAGAGCGTGACGCGTGGTCAGCGCAACGAATCCCCACGGCCACTAATTTCGGTTTTCTAGACCGGACTCGGACTCATAAACAAGTAATAATATTACATGCAGGGCCTATAACTTTAAAAAAAAATGTATATTAATAATCCAATGTGGAGGCGGACCGCCTCTGTGGTCTTGTGGTCAGAGTTCCTGGCTACATATCCAGAGGTCCCAGGTTAGATTCCCGGCTCTATCAGATTTTCTGAGAAGTCTGGAATGGGGTCCACTCAACCTCGTGAGCATAACTGAGAAGCTACTTGAATGGAAAAGTAGCGGCTCCGGTATAGAAAACCAAGTTTAACGGCCGTGGGGATCCGTTGCACTGACCACGCCATATCCTCTATGCGCAAAAGTTGGCACCAACTTCGANGCGCAACGAATCCCCACGGCCACTAATTTCGGTTTTCTAGACCGGACTCGGACTCATAAACAAGTAATAATATTACATGCAGGGCCTATAACTTTAAAAAAAAATGTATATTAATAATCCAATGTGGAGGCGGACCGCCTCTGTGGTCTTGTGGTCAGAGTTCCTGGCTACATATCCAGAGGTCCCAGGTTAGATTCCCGGCTCTATCAGATTTTCTGAGAAGTCTGGAATGGGGTCCACTCAACCTCGTGAGCATAACTGAGAAGCTACTTGAATGGAAAAGTAGCGGCTCCGGTATAGAAAACCAAGTTTAACGGCCGTGGGGATCCGTTGCACTGACCACGCCATATCCTCTATGCGCAAAAGTTGGCACCAACTTCGACGACAAGCGACAGTCACTCGGTCGGTATAGTTCGCTTGCGGGCTACAGGTCATGGAGTTTAGTTTAGGAGGCGGGGTCAAATACTTGCACCGTAGCCCTGCTAGTCGTAGGAGGCGACGAAAAGGGAAGTCTAGAATTTGAGACAGTAAAATATGGTTGCGAGTCCCACGGGACTCGAACACGCAGCAATTGTAAACGACAGACCCGTCCTGTCGTCAGATAGCGCCCCACATCAACAAACCTGCCAACTGTATGACAGTAATAAAAATCTGGTCGTAAGCCCCAGATGGGTGCTTTATCCTAAGATAGACTGGCCGACTGACCGTCGGTCGTAACATAAGACACAAACCGAATACAGAATCCAGGAGATATTGAAAGTTACTAGAGATGGATCAAAACGTACTGCATTTTTGAGAAGCTCACATTTATTAACGTATTTCACTCACATTATGTCCAGATAGATTTTTTCCTAAGTGTTTAAACAATGTATAGATGGATAGATCAGTCTTCATTATTTCATGTATATATAAGTTTTAATATACGCCATATGACATGAGTTATCAGTGGTTACGTAAGAGGTTGCACAAGTATTACGCTGAGTGCACTTACGGCTCCATCCACTTGCACCCTACCTTGGTCTATAGACTCCTGAACTAGTACTAGCTTGAACTAACTCTACTTCAATTCTGCTTGAGTTTTGCTTCTGCTTATATCTGTCAGACTGACCATACAGCAGACACCGCCTCCATGGGAATTCATTTTTCAACAATTCCAACAAATCGTCGAGGAAACTTGTTTACATTTCACCTGATCGCTGTGGGAACAGAGCTTCTCTGGCCGTTATAACGGAAACGTGCTATAATACTAGCAATGTTTCCATAGTTACATGAATTTATTTTCTGCTACAACAGTTCACTACGCAGATACAGTTACCATGGTAATTTCTGTGAAATGTTACGCTGAAATGTCACTTGCGGCTTCATCCATTTGTACCCTCGTATAATAATATTTTCAAAGTTAAAAAAAATCTGGTCGTGATCCTCAAGGGGCTTGGCGCCAAAACAAACCGACTGGCGGTAAACCGCCAGTCGTAAAGTGCCTGACTGATGTTACCAAGCGATGACAGGTGAAGATGAACTGAGAAGACAGCGTGCTATGGCGGATTGTGAAGTGCGTAAATTAATAAACCGGTTATAATTATTCCTACCAGTAGACGGGGTTTATGCCGGTCAAGGTAGCCGAGAGGTCTAAGGCATGCACTGTCTTCGCTCGCTCGGAAGCCGAGATCGTGGGTTCGAATCCCACTCAGGGCATGGATGTTTGTGTGCGTTTTTCTGTGTTTGTCTACAGGTAGAGGCCTTGCGACGAGCTGATCACTCGCCCAAGGAGTCCTACCGTATGTGTAAGATGGAGGAAAAAAAAACCGAAGTGAACGGAGAAGTTCATGGAGGTAGGCCTAGGCCCACTCGGGCTGATGTGCCGGGGGGGGAATGGGGTTTATAAGAGTCCAATAACGCCAATTACCAATCCAAACCCCCTGTCTAGTCATTAAATACGTGACAACTAGTGGCAGAAGTAGAATAATTGGATTGGATTGATTGAATTATTGGACTGAATTCTTTGTTGGATAATTATAGTGCCATACTACAAAAATGGACAAACGATGGAACGGCTGCAGGCCGAAATATGAACCAACCGAGAAGAAATTAATGCCATAATGAAGGCCCGTCTAGAAAAGCTGGAGGCCAATCAGGAAAAATCAGAAACTGAGATGGAGGCATACCCAGAAAGACTGCAGAACAATCGAGAAAAGGTGGAGGACAAGGAAGAGTTGGAGGCCAATCAAGGAAGAATAATGGCCACAGCGGAACAGCATAACCAACCTCCACGCGTAAGAGCCAAGCACCTGCTTACTGCCCTGCAGGGCCAGGCTTCCAATGCACAAGGAATCCCTACAGGACCGACGTTCGAGAAGAGACAAAAGATGCAGCAACAGCATAAGAGACGACATGTAAAACTGCAGCGATGTGTGGTAAGCAAGAGGGCACTAAACTAGGCCATCAAACAGATCCTAGAGCTGGAAGATGAAAAGCTAAAAGTTGGATCTTCCATGAGGCTGTGGAAAATGAGCAACATGGCATTGTGGCAGAGCCGGCCATCTCCCGAATGAAAAGACTACCAACAGCTCGTGTGCTGGCGTTGTAGGAGCACCAGCCACTGAAAGCGGTGTTTTCTATGCAATCCGTGCTAAGGCTATAAGATAAACCCATCCTCTCATCAGAAAAAAAAAAAGACTGGTCGTCAGCCTCAAGAAGCTTCGCACCAAGATGAACTAACTGGCGGTAAGTAACTCTGACTCTGAGTGTTTAGTCAGTCCCGGCCCGGAAGCCGAGAATGTGAGAAATACTTGGAACCATAGTTCAGATGCGAGACATTCGCCCGCAAGTGAGGACAGGTGCCGTTCAACACAAAACTGAGGAATCTACATGTTGAGAGCCGTTACCAGGTGACAAGTGACAATGAACTGAGAAGACTTAGTACGTGCTATAATGAATTGTGAAGTGCTTAAATTAGTGAAACAGTTATAATTACTTATAGTTACGGTTTGCTGGAGTCCAAAAACGCCAATTACCAACCGAAACATCGTGTCTAGTCGCTAAATATGTGATAACACATTAATAATTCTTTACCTTCAAATACATACTCTTATCATCTTGGGATACAAGCTTCATTAATGCATAGCCTAATCCAGTGAATCCAGTTAAATACAAAACAGATCGCAGTGCAGCCATCCCATTATCTGCTCTATCACACACTTACAATCTATGCATCACTTGGAATTTTTCCCTCTTGTTTCCATATTTTCATATCCACTTCACGGGCCTGAAGGGCTACTGGATTTGATGACACAGATTCTCCTATTCTGTAATAACCTACAATGAAAAGAAGATGAACATTACCAAGAAAACTGGTTCTTCTCAGTCCATCCAAGCAATTGCCAGGACAGTATCTTAATCAGCCTACAAGTGCTTCCTTTCCAATCCATTATTCACTACTATCCAATCATTCAAGGCTATATAATCTGGCTTGATGACAGCATCATTAAATAAATTGCACTCAAATACAAATAAAGTAAACATCCCCCACAAAAGTTCAACAGTCTTAAAACTATTATTTCCTTCAGGACACTTTTTCTATGCGAGTTAATTACTTTTTAATTTTTCAATGTTCCCAAATGTTTTAAGACTTCAAAACGTGTAATCATCCATTAACACTGACTGGTATACACATATGTATATACCTTTTATTAGACAAAAATCTGGTGCATATGTGAGCTTGACTGTGACATACCTGTCACTGAAGCTTAAATGAACATCAGATTTTTTCATCTAACTCCTGTTACTAACAAACATTATCATCCAGAAAACTGTATTTGAGCATCCTGCTGCATTAGTTGATCACTGTGTCCATGTGCATGCAATCATTCATCAATGCAGCTTCAATTATTGGTCGAATCACCACTTAGTCCATGCTTTCATGTAAATTCATGGCATATTTCAGCCATACAGGGCCATAATAAAGTATACGTGTACATGATTAACTGCATACAAGTAAACTGTTATACTGTATTGTAATATACAGTTGTAATATACTGTTAAAATAATTTAAAATTGTGTAAAATGACGTCTTGTGTGTCAGAGTGTTCATATTCCTTGTGTTTGCTTTTGCAATGATGTGTATTTTGTGGATTGAATCTTGGTTGCCTGCAATGTGCCAATAATACTGTAGTGTGTACAGCCATTGCTATGCAATGACTGCGAGTCAAGCGAATAAACTAAGGCCACTTCTAGGCAATGAATACACATGCAACAATAATAACTAGTGGAAGCAGTTTTTTCAATTTGGTCCAACAAAGGGGTTATTAGGAAGACAATTGGGGGGCGGCCCGGTCAGAAAGTATAACAGGCTTAAACTTGGTGACAGTCATGGATATGACCGTTCAAGTGACTAGACTGCCGTTGTAGCAGAAGCTACTAGAAATAGGGCATAACCTGCTGTACTGAGCCTGGGCTGCCAGAGGCCCTGTACATATTTTATATACATTTATTAACATGTTTAACATGTAAAATGTAAATATCCTTTACATTATGACAAATGACTTACTACTGCAGACAATAACTTTGACAAAAGACAGACCCGTCCTCTCGTCAGAGAGGGTGCCCCACTAAAACAAGACCAAAACTGTCAAACAGTAATAAATATCTGGTCATAAGCCCCAGATTGGCCTCGACACCAAGACTGACTGACTTACTGACCATCCGTCAGCTGCAATGTGACTTTTGAGTTTGACTTCTGGCCCAGTCAGGACTTACAGCCGGTCGCTAACATGAGACTTGACCAGTTCATGCCTGTGCAGCAGCAAATATAAACACAAAAAGTGGAGACACTGTTGGGGATGGTGTTTTGTATTCAGTCTGCCTCAAATTTATGTGTCAAGGGATAGCAGACTGGCCCTCCAGGGTGTGGAGGCGGATTCAAATCACCTTCACTGTAGCCCTGCAAGTTGTAAAAAAGCAATGGAACGAGTGCCTAAGGGTATAACTGGGCCACCGTGTTCCTGGGGAATATAAATATGGGAACCTGGCCTCCAGGTTGGGGGAATCTCGAATCTGAATTAGTAAAATGTGGTCATGAGTCCTGCAGGACCCAGACCTGAGAATTACTGTGCTGGTGAGAGCTAGCAGAAATTGTAAATGACAGACCCATCCTCTCGTCAGACAGGATTAAGGTCTATGACCGCAAGTGTTCAATTTAAAAAACAAAAGTTCTGGCCGTGAGTTTCAAAGGACCTCTCACCAAGATGAATTGATTGGCAGTAATACGGCCAGTTGTGAAGTCGTAAAACTCTAACTCTGACCCAGTCAGTTGAGATTTGAGTTCTGCAAGGGAGGCTAAGAGATGGTGCTATAGTTCAGTCGACAGTTCAGTTGTGGACTGACAGTAGTCAGTCGGACAGTAACAATGTGAGCACAAAAGCTGAAGAATCTCCATTGTTGAGAGCTGTTACCCAGCAACAACTAGTGAAGACACTGCAAGCTGGAGAATATCTAGTGTGTAGTGTACTGAAATCAGTGATAGTGCTGTAATGACTTGTAGTTCCAAGTGATCTGTATAAGTGGCCAATAAATCCATTCACCAATCCATACCCCATCTATAGTGACACATAAATCATGATAATATGTCACACATTTTATGTTTTTTATTTTGTTTTATACTATTCTGTGTTGTGTATAACTCTACCTAGGTGTTCCCTGTTGGCCAGTGTTTGTGGACGATGGCATTTCCAATAAGTGTATGACATTCTTATTACCTACGGCTGAAGCAAAACAAATATAGAACCAAGAACAAACGCAACAAATTATAACCATCCATAAAACTGACTCTGGAAAATGAACTTAAAACTCCATCCACTTTTCAGATCTTACAATACACTGTAAAGACAAAAAATTAAATATTTAAATACACAAAAGGCTCACACAAATAGATAGTATAATACATCACAATTCTTGTCACCCATATGAGCATGAACTATCATGTATCAACTACCTACTAAACAGACTACACACACATCCACTAACAAACATTAATTCTGTACAAAAACAAAATGTGCTACCTTTACATACAGATGTAAAGATGCAAGAAATCACAAAATTCTTCCAAAACACAAAAATTAAAATAACTTTCCACACAAAGAACACAATAAAAAACACATTAAGACCTCATTCACAATGAAATAAATATAGCAGAAGTGGCATTTATCAGATGAAATGTCAAGATTGCCACTAAAACACATGGGAAAGACAGGGACAACATTTAATATCAGACACGAAGAACACATATAAGCAGGGTATAAATGGTACTACAATCAACACCACTGACATTATAAGGACAGGAAAGAAATGGAAACATTGGAACGCCTTAGAGAAATAACATATTTATTTAATTAGCAAACACAACCTACTCACTCACTCAATCATGGAGCTGAGCCCTTCTTGAGAAGTGGCCAATTGTGCAGCCTATTAAGAACTTCCCAGCATTTTATGGAACCTGAAGGCACATTACCGTGTTCACAAGAGCCCTTCACTGGTCCTTATCCTGAGCCAGATCAGTCCAGTCCATACCATCCCATCCTATCTCTCGAAGATCCATTTTAATATTGTCCACCCACCTATGCCTTGGTCTTCCCAGTGGTCTCCTTCCTTCTGGCTTTCCCACCAATATCCTATAAGCATTTCTTCTCGCCCCCATTCTTGCTACATGCACTGCCCATCTCATCCTCCTTGACTTGATCATTCTAATTATACTTGGAGAAGAGTACAAGTAATGAAGCTCCTCACTGTGTAGTTTTTCCAACCTCATCATCATCAGTAATCTGTCAGACGACAGGTCCACAGTCTCTTCCAAAACAATTCCTCCACTTAATGCGATCTAGAGCTTTCTCCTTCAAATGACAGTAACCTCTTCTGTCCCCAAGGTCATCCAGCATCTTCTTACGTCTTCTTCGTCTTCTTGTCACTTCTATCCGACCCTCTATCTTTCCTTCAATAACTTCTTTTAGAAGGCAGTTTCTGCGTAATACATGACCAATCCAATTAGCCTTCCATTTTCTTATTTTGTGTAGGATATTCCTCTGCTCACTGACTCTAATTAGCACTTCTTCATTTCTCACATAATCGGTCCAACTGATCTTCTCCATCCTTCTCCAACACATTTCGAAACTTTCCAGATGTTTCTCATCTACTGTCCTAAGTGTCCATGTTTCAGCCCCATACAGAGCTATGCTCCAAATGTAGCATTTCACTAGTTTCTTCCTCAAATTTAAGTCCAATC